TATCTATAGTTGAACTATCTATACATCTATATATAAAGGGGCGGTGGGGTAGCCTAGTGGTTAAAGCGTTGCCTCGTCACGCCGAAGACCCGGGTTTGAATCCCCACATGGGTACAATGTGTGAAGCCCATTTCTGGTGTTCCCCGTCGTGATGTTGCTGGAATATTGCTAAAAGTGGCGTAAAACCAAACTCAGTCAGTCAGTCTATATATAAAACTCCAGACTTCATCTGCACAAGATCTTTTGCCGGTCAATGGTTCTTCATGTGTACAATGAAAAGTAAGTGTCGTCATAGGCGACGCATAATGGTAGTAGCTATTTCGTCATTATGTGTATGACGTTAGTGACAATAGGTAGTATGTAATAGATATATAAGATATATATGGCAGTTGAAAATGCTGTTCACAAAGTAAAAGTCCCAAGAGAGACACTTAAACAAAAGAAACATATACAGAGGTGGACATTCTTCCATTTGTTTGTACCTACAATCCTAATAACTGTACAATTATGCCCATTAACAAAAGCAAATCTTCCAATTTTGTATACAAGTGATACTATGAAAAAAGGTTTGTCAGTCAGTGTAACAAAATGTCAAACACCTCAATGCGAAACTTGTTCAAAATCATAACTGAAGACAGCAAATGTGCATTTTGTGAAGGCAAACTATTTACTATCAAAACCAACATGAACTGATGCAGCTAAAATGTTACATATGTTTTATTTAAGCAGACGCAGGTGACAGCATGTAGTTAATCTGTGCACCGGACCATAACATGTGTTGTTTTAAGCTGTAGTTCTTATGGGAGGACACCCCAGTTCTTGTCTGGTGCCACAAGATTATTTATTACGGTTACAGGCCGGGAGAGCCACATTTCGGAAAGAGATAGCCAAAATTGATGTGGCTCTACCGGCAATAGTTATGGTTGCGTGAACATGGAATGTGGCTCTCCCGGCTATGCTGTCAAAACATGCTTCGTGATTCAAACACGTTACCGTATTTAACAAAACAAGACATGTTTCCTCATAATTGTATTCAGATCACAACAGGTTTTGTTTCTATAATTAGCAGAATATAATATACTAATAGGTAAATTACATATAATTATAATGTCACAAAATAATAATAAATGTTAATCTGTAAAGCATAATAATGATGATAATGGTTTAGTTTGTTGCCATGTGTACAAACAGATAAAATGGCGTAAGATCACAAAACATTCTTTTTTGCACCCCCTACTGCAGATGAAGGAGGTCGCCCCGGTCTTAGGTATAACACCCCGAACTTTATGGTTTATGGAGAACTTGGAAGATTCTATATTAAATGATGCTCCCTGGCTAAATAATGTGAAACATATATTTTGTGAATGCGGATGTATTTGTAAACCCTTTTCATTATACTCAATCCTGGATCCTATCAAAATCTGAATCAATCCTGAAAGACCAGTTTTTACAATCGTGGACCCGTGAAATGAATAATTTTTTTGAAATGAATAACATTTTAAAAAATTCACCTTCCCTCGACAAATACTTACTGCTATCTGAAAACATTTGGAAACCTATTCTATATGATGGCAAGTACTAAAATGTCAACAATCAAACCCCTGTCTAAATTTATCGAGTGTATATGTTCCAGTTTTCAGTAATCATTGTGTATACTCCCTGTCTCCTTCTTGCATGCTTTGTATATTCTGCATTCCATTTTATGTACTCATGTACCACCGGAGATGGTTCCATTTTGAGTCCATAAATCATAAATAGGGACAGTCTTTTACCGGTATTGCTAAACACCACGCTTGTGAGTGTGAAAGATTATTCGTTGCTTGTGAAAACAATATTATACATGGGGACACTTTTTTACAGGTTACGGTAATCCATTAATTAATTAATCTATTGGAAATGTGGCTTTACCGGCTACAGCCATGTAATTGAAATGTGGCCTTCCCGGCAATAGTCATTTTTGAAATGTGGCTTTCCCGGCCTGTCACCTTTATAACCTGAGGTTGCACCAGGTACCAGAAGGTCTTAATTCATTAAATTAAGCCCTGATATACATGTGTATATTCAAGTAGTAATGATCATGAACATTTTGGATTTTTCTTGAGGTGTACAAAACCGAAAACTCCAGTTATCCCGATGATTTACACCAAAACTGATGTGTCCGGGTATGGGGGGTCTCACTGTATATTCAAGTAGTAGTGACCATACTCTTTGGAGCCAATTATTGCTGTTACCAGATATGTAAGGATCAGTCACTGTTGAGATTTCCTGTGATCTAGTATGAGGGGTCTCACTGTATATTCAAGTAGTAGTGACCATACTCTTTGGAGCCAATTATTGCTGTTACCAGATATGTAAGGATCAGTCACTGTTGAGATTTCCTGTGATCTAGTATGAGGGGTCTCACTGTATATTCAAGTAGTAGTGACCATACTCTTTGGAGCCAATTATTGCTGTTACCAGATATGTAAGGATCAGTCACTGTTGAGATTTCCTGTGATCTAGTATGAGGGGTCTCACTGTATATTCAAGTAGTAGTGACCATACTCTTTGGAGCCAATTATTGCTGTTACCAGATATGTAAGGATCAGTCACTGTTGAGATTTCCTGTGATCTAGTATGAGGGGTCTCACTGTATATTCAAGTAGTAGTGACCATACTCTTTGGAGCCAATTATTGCTGTTACCAGATATGTAAGGATCAGTCACTGTTGAGATTTTCTGTGATCTAGTATGGGGGTCTCACTGTATATTCAAGTAGTAGTGACCATACTCTTTGGAGCCAATTATTGCTGTTACCAGATATGTAAGGATCAATCACTGTTGAGATTTCCTGTGATCTACTATGTGGGGGGCGGTGGGGTAGCCTAGTGGTTAAAGCGTTGGCTCGTCACGCCGAAGACCCGGGTTCGATTCCCCACATGGGTACAATGTGTGAAGCCCATTTCTGGTGTCCCCCGCCGTGATATTGCTGGAATATTGCTTAAAGCGGAGTAAAACTAAACTCAGTCAGTCAGTCAGTAGTATGAGGGGTCTCACTGTATATTCAAGTAGTAGTGACCATACTCTTTGGAACCAAATTATTGCTGTTACCAGATATGTAAGGATCAGTCACTGTTGAGATTTCCTGTGATCTAGTATGAGGGGTCTCACTGTATATTCAAGTAGTAGTGACCATACTCTTTGGAGCCAATTATTGCTGTTACCAGATATGTAAGGATCAGTCACTGTTGAGATTTCCTGTGATCTAGTATGAGGGGTCTCACTGTATATTCAAGTAGTAGTGACCATACTCTTTGGAGCCAATTATTGCTGTTACCAGATATGTAAGGATCAGTCACTGTTGAGATTTCCTGTGATCTAGTATGAGGGGTCTCACTGTATATTCAAGTAGTAGTGACCATACTCTTTGGAGCCAATTATTGCTGTTACCAGATATGTAAGGATCAGTCACTGTTGAGATTTCCTGTGATCTAGTATGAGGGTCTCACTGTATATTCAAGTAGTAGTGACCATACTCTTTGGAGCCAATTATTGCTGTTACCAGATATGTAAGGATCAGTCACTGTTGAGATTTCCTGTGATCTAGTATGAGGGTCTCACTGTATATTCAAGTAGTAGTGACCATACTCTTTGGAGCCAATTATTGCTGTTACCAGATATGTAAGGATCAGTCACTGTTGAGATTTCCTGTGATCTAGTATGAGGGGTCTCACTGTATATTCAAGTAGTAGTGACCATACTCTTTGGAGCCAATTATTGCTGTTACCAGATATGTAAGGATCAGTCACTGTTGAGATTTTCTGTGATCTAGTATGGGGGTCTCACTGTATATTCAAGTAGTAGTGACCATACTCTTTGGAATAATTATTGCTGTTACCAGATATGTAAGGATCAATCACTGTTGAGATTTCCTGTGATCTACTATGTGGGGGGCGGTGGGGTAGCCTAGTGGTTAAAGCGTTGGCTCGTCACGCCGAAGACCCGGGTTCGATTCCCCACATGGGTACAATGTGTGAAGCCCATTTCTGGTGTCCCCCTCCGTGATATTGCTGGAATATTGCTTAAAACGGCGTAAAACTAAACTCAGTCAGTCAGTCAGTAGTATGAGGGGTCTCACTGTATATTCAAGTAGTAGTGACCATACTCTTTGGAACCAAATTATTGCTGTTACCAGATATGTAAGGATCAGTCACTGTTGAGATTTCCTGTGATCTAGTATGAGGGGTCTCACTGTATATTCAAGTAGTAGTGACCATACTCTTTGGAGCCAATTATTGCTGTTACCAGATATGTAAGGATCAGTCACTGTTGAGATTTCCTGTGATCTAGTATGAGGGGTCTCACTGTATATTCAAGTAGTAGTGACCATACTCTTTGGAGCCAATTATTGCTGTTACCAGATATGTAAGGATCAGTCACTGTTGAGATTTCCTGTGATCTAGTATGAGGGGTCTCACTGTATATTCAAGTAGTAGTGACCATACTCTTTGGAGCCAATTATTGCTGTTACCAGATATGTAAGGATCAGTCACTGTTGAGATTTCCTGTGATCTAGTATGAGGGGTCTCACTGTATATTCAAGTAGTAGTGACCATACTCTTTGGAGCCAATTATTGCTGTTACCAGATATGTAAGGATCAGTCACTGTTGAGATTTCCTGTGATCTAGTATGAGGGGTCTCACTGTATATTCAAGTAGTAGTGACCATACTCTTTGGAGCCAATTATTGCTGTTACCAGATATGTAAGGATCAGTCACTGTTGAGATTTCCTGTGATCTAGTATGAGGGGTCTCACTGTATATTCAAGTAGTAGTGACCATACTCTTTGGAGCCAATTATTGCTGTTACCAGATATGTAAGGATCAGTCACTGTTGAGATTTCCTGTGATCTAGTATGAGGGTCTCACTGTATATTCAAGTAGTAGTGACCATACTCTTTGGAGCCAATTATTGCTGTTACCAGATATGTAAGGATCAGTCACTGTTGAGATTTCCTGTGATCTAGTATGAGGGTCTCACTGTATATTCAAGTAGTAGTGACCATACTCTTTGGAGCCAATTATTGCTGTTACCAGATATGTAAGGATCAGTCACTGTTGAGATTTCCTGTGATCTAGTATGAGGGGTCTCACTGTATATTCAAGTAGTAGTGACCATACTCTTTGGAGCCAATTATTGCTGTTACCAGATATGTAAGGATCAGTCACTGTTGAGATTTCCTGTGATCTAGTATGAGGGGTCTTACTGTATATTCAAGTAGTAGTGACCATACTCTTTGGAACAAATTATTGCTGTTACCAGATATGTAAGGATCAGTCACTGTTGAGATATCCTGTGATCTAGTATGAGGGGTCTCACTGTATATTCAAGTAGTAGTGACCATACTCTTTGGAGCCAATTATTGCTGTTACCAGATATGTAAGGATCAGTCACTGTTGAGATTTCCTGTGATCTAGTATGAGGGGTCTCACTGTATATTCAAGTAGTAGTGACCATACTCTTTGGAGCCAATTATTGCTGTTACCAGATATGTAAGGATCAGTCACTGTTGAGATTTCCTGTGATCTAGTATGGGGGTCTTACTGTATATTCAAGTAGTAGTGACCATACTCTTGGAGCCAATTATTGCTGTTACCAGATATGTAAGGATCAGTCACTGTTGAGATTTCCTGTGATCTAGTATGAGGGGTCTCACTGTATATTCAAGTAGTAGTGACCATACTCTTTGGAGCCAATTATTGCTGTTACCAGATATGTAAGGATCAGTCACTGTTGAGATTTCCTGTGATCTAGTATGAGGGTCTCACTGTATATTCAAGTAGTAGTGACCATACTCTTGGAGCCAATTATTGCTGTTACCAGATATGTAAGGATCAGCCACTGTTGAGATTTCCTGTGATCTAGTATGAGGGGTCTCACTGTATATTCAAGTAGTAGTGACCATACTCTTTGGAGCCAATTATTGCTGTTACCAGATATGTAAGGATCAGTCACTGTTGAGATTTCCTGTGATCTAGTATGAGGGGTCTCACTGTATATTCAAGTAGTAGTGACCATACTCTTTGGAGCCAATTATTGCTGTTACCAGATATGTAAGGATCAGTCACTGTTGAGATTTCCTGTGATCTAGTATGAGGGGTCTCACTGTATATTCAAGTAGTAGTGACCATACTCTTTGGAGCCAATTATTGCTGTTACCAGATATGTAAGGATCAGTCACTGTTGAGATTTCCTGGGATCTAGTATGAGGGGTCTCACTGTATATTCAAGTAGTAGTGACCATACTCTTTGGAGCCAATTATTGCTGTTACC